CTCGAGGTGAAAGGAGTAGACACGTACGTTGTAGCAATTCCTTTCGATGGCATGCGTGTGCCCAACTTCGTGGTGCGTGGGAAAGCCCTCGAGCCTTGTTTTAAGACAAGCAACAAGGTGACGTGTGCTACGCGTGCGGCCACGAGGTTCCTCGTGCCGATGTTTGCCACAGTAGCGAGGAAAAGAGCAAATGCCGAAGATGCGGAATTTTCAATCTCCAAACATCGAGGGAGGTGAGGATCACCAGTGCGCCCCTAGTGGTGGATACTTCGGGGAGGCACCGGGGAGACAACCTGCAGCCAGCGCTTTCAGATATCATACTTCGTGCTACGTTGGCACCTCTGGTGATAACTTCGCACAAAGTACGGTATCTGGTAACAATGCAGGCACCAACGTCGCACGCCAATTTAAAGGAATCGTCGCACGTCAAATGGCGCAAGAAGCACAGATTGCCTAAAGAAATGAGGTCAAAAATTTTAGTTCCTGGGGTCCTCCCGTCCTAGGGGGCACTCTTAGTCAAAGAGAATACCTGGATGGAGAAATGGCAGGTATTCGAGCACGTCCACTTTGACATCCCGCTCCCGTTCTCAGTCCTTTACTACGTGGGCAGAAAAGATGCAGGGTGTTCCGGGGCCAACCTCAAAAGTAAAAAATACCTAGCAGAGCAGCAAACTTCCTGGTCAGGCGAAGCTAGAGCACATGGTCAATTCAAGAATTCAATCGCTTTAGCTGGAAATATGCAGGTCATGCGAGAGCTCGTGAAACTTAAGGCTTTCAGCGGCTTTACACGGTATATCACAAACTGCGATGACGCTAAGGCTACTACCCTTAGCCCGCTTCATGGGAAACAAAGGCAAGGCACTAAATCCGGAAAAACCTATGAGAAACAGAGGAAGAGGACGATGGTATGATTGAGGTTAGTGATACCTCGTCCTCTGTTTTGGTCCCCATGTTAAAAAGGGGGAAAGGCAATCAAGCAGCCATCCTCGTCATCAAAGGTCGCCTATTAATTACAGCGAGCTCAGATGCGTGTACACGCCCGCGCGCTTTGTTCTTCGTACGTCGTGCTCCGTGGTTAGAAGTAAACACAGCCCTGTTCTGCTCGTTCCGTCCGCCTGATCTGGTTTCTTGTTTTTTCGCTTGCCGCCCCATGCATGGTTATAGATGACCTAACGTCGGTTCCTATTGGCAATTGGCGGTCCGCATGACGCAATTCGTTGGGAAGTGTCAATATTTTTTTCTTGCTCGGTTTTTCGCACACCCTCTGAGACTCGCTAACACTCGAGCGACCGCTCATCTCCGAGGCTATGTTTCAGCTCCCGATGCGCTCGCTATGCCTACAGCTCCGAGAGATATGCTCCGGCTCTCGGTAATGGTTTCAAATCTTGTTATACCGAAAAATTGAGCCTGGCACGTATTCAATTTAAAATAGGCATGAAAACATATACACAAAAATAAGTAAAGATGCGTACAATGGCACAAACGAAAAAACGAACAGTCATGTGCACAAGCCCTTGCAATATGCATTACTTTGAATCTGGCACACCTAGAGGACTACGTAAAAATATTGGTTAAGGTAGTTCATTTCACACTTACGCGAGTCAATTGATGGTTGGCTCACGCAACGCTACCACTATTGTCGATGTGTCATGCCGCAATTATATGACGCATTACTTTGTTTTAATGCCAGTACAAAACAACAATAACACCGTACATTGACGAGTAAATACGTCTTCGACGATGTGAAAAAGATTAGAAGGTTGGCGTCCAGTTAACAATCTTTTGTGTTCAAGTAAGTTCTGGTTCATGCAACGTCCTATCGATCCAACACCGAGAAGTGATTGCAGATGAAAGAAAGCTTATTAGTTGCGTTTGTGCAGCGATCAGTGACTTTATTACTGTGTTTGACGAAAGAAACATTGGTCCAATTCTTGACTTTTACTCGCACATTTTTACCTAGCTTATCGGCAGCCGTAAAAACAACATTGACACCGTATCTGTCTTCTACTTTCTTTAGCTTGTAACAATATTACCCTCTCGCGTTTTACGTCCCAATACCATGATATGGTTATGAGAGGGGTCATAGTACAGGCCTGTGAAAATTTCACCCACTTGGTGTTCTTCAACGCGCTCTAACGTCGCGCAGTACTCAGGCCTCTCCAATTTTGCCTACATTGAAATGCGACTGCCACGGCTGAGATTTTCTTTAGAGTGTGAAATATGCAAATGATGTACGCTATATAGACCTATGATACGCATCTTCCTTTCCCTTTCTGCAACCATGCTTAGACCTGAATGAAACGTTCAGCGACAGTGGCCACTCCATCAAGAGAATAAGCTATAACTGCGTTACTGTGCCATAAAGCTATCACTCATCTGTGCGCACACGCCATCGTGACGGTCCGCTTGAAGAGCTCCTGAACCACACCTAATTCAAAGGGGGGTTGGTATAGTTACCTGTTGGCCTTCTATACCCTTCCCACGAGCACCATCTCCTCCTTTCTACTCCTTCGCTTAGAAAACGTGTGGAATGCCAGCACCGAGCCTTAATTAGGTCTGTCACTACCAAGCGCTCAAGAAAGCGCGCGCCTCCAAATTTTGCCGACAGTGACGACACCAGGCGCCAGACAGTCGCACAAAGACAACTTAAAAGAAGGAAAGAAGCATCAGGGTACTCCTCGGGCGGGTCGCTACCAGTAACCGACCAAACTTTCACACCTATCGCAGAGCGAACACCAGAATTATTGAGAAGGAAGGCATGAGTCACTCCCTATTTGGGTCATGGGTCGGGGAGAGTTCTCGAAACGTCTCGGGCTTTCCCCAATCTTAGCTGTGCAACGCGACGGACAACCTTCCGGAACCCAGGGTGTATCGTATCTAAGCGAGCAGCGGATGGTACTGATCAGGAGAAAGAAGTTTGCGCCACCGTGCATCGAGTTTTTCACGTCGTTGGCCGAAGACTTATGTCCTCAGTGACAAAGCACAAGATGAAGATCTTTTCCATCTGTGCGTGAAGGCTTGTATTACAAGCAGACGAAGAGATAGATAATAGATAGATAAATATATAGATAGATAAATAGATAGATAGATAGGTTGATTGATAGATAGATAGATAGATAGGTAGATAGATAGACAGACAGATAGATAGATGTATAGATAGATAGATAGATAGATAGATAGATAGATAGATAGATAGATAGATAGATACGTGTGGTTTAACGTCCCAAAACCACCATATGATTATGAGAGATGCCCTAGTTGAGGGCTCAGAAAATTTCGACCAACTGAAGTTCTTTAACGTGCACCCGAATGTGAGCACAAGGGCCTACATTTGCGCTTCTTTCGGAGAGGCAGCCACCACAGCTAGGGATTCGATCGCGTGACCTACGGTTCATCAGCCGAGTACCTTAACCACTAGACCACTGTGGCGGCGCAGCAGAAGAAGAGTGGGAGATTACCGTCAAAGGGCGAAGACGCGTTCTGCAGCCGCAGCGCGTGAGTGACTGACGGGTTACCGGCAAAGGAAAGTTTGTTGCATGAAGTGCGGACATTTGAATCACGAGGTTTTCTGGAGGAGAAACTTCGGGAGCTGCGGAACGACAAGAGCGCTGGACTTTGAATGTTCCCTAGAACAGTATCATTCAAACATTGTTCCAAGAAGTCTGGACGGAATAAGTTGACGAACCTTTTAGTTTCTATGTGTCCTGGTTGTTTAATGCAGGAGAGTTCAATGTAGAGCGTGTTGTTGTTCGTGTTCGTTGTTGCCGTGCCGCGGTGGTCTAGTGCTAACCGCAAGTCTGCTAATCGCAAGACTGCTAACCCGCAAGTCGCAGGATCGAATCCTGGCTGCGGCGGCTGCATTACCGATTGAGGTGGGATGGTTGTAGGCCTGTGTTCTCAGATTCGGTGCACGTTTCAAAATCCCAGTTTGTCAAAATTTCCGAAGCCCTCCACTACGGTGTCTCTGATAATCACATGGTGGTTTTGGGACGTTAAGTCTCACATATCAATCAATCAATCAATCAATCAATCAATCAATCAATCAATCAATCAATCAATCGTATACGTTGTTTTGAGTGTAGCTGAATGTGTTGTGTAGCCCGTTGTTTGTGAGGTGACTTATTTTATGGGACTATTGGCGAGAGTGCATATGTTTGTGTTGTTTGATCTGCCGTATTTGAAAAAAAATATTTTTTTTGTTATCAACTCTCGGCTCTGACTGGTTCTTTGAACCACAGCCGGCATCCACCGGCGTGACAAATAGGATCACACCTACATTGTTCATGCTTTCGTGGTGCAGTTTGGCGGGCTGGTACTTCAGCTCTTGCAATTACCCCGGCGATCGTTTTCCTAATTAACGGGACAAGTTACAAAGTCAGCCATGATTTTGTGCTTTTTGCGCAATGGGAAACCAAAAATGAAGTCACAATAATTTTTGCGCACAATAGTCGTGAGGGCCAAGGCAGACATGGCAGGCATCTGCACAGCAAAACAGGTGAGAGGTCGCATATATCAACCAATCAAGAGCTTATTTCATCATCATCTCACGTGAGCAACCAGATGGCATCACGAATTGTGCCGCAAAGATGGGATATACCGGTAGAAAATAATGCGCTCGTTGTTTATATGTTATGAGAATATTTAGGTAAAGAAACACGTGGCTATACCGTTATTTACAAGATTTAGTGTGATGACGAGATATTTACCCACAGTTTTGAGGATTATGTAGTAAACTGCCTCGAAACAAGGTTTTGCTGAAACCGAAGGAAATGTCTACGTATTGTGTCACACTATCAATAGGCAATGCTTTTGTGAAACTCCATTTCAGCCACTGCCACCTGACAAGGTATTGATAACTTGAACAAAATCCAACAAACAAAAAGATGCGTCCAGAAATTATCGAACTAGCCAAGGCGTGCCAGTGGCCTAAATTATTTGCAAATTATCGCAAAGTAACCATACCTCTGTGCCTCGTCTTGTTGAATGCCTTTATTTTACAGATTTTCAGATGACCCTCAAACCAGAGCTGAGGCTGCTTTCTTCCGAAGAGAAGAGACGACTGAAGAAGGACGTGACAAGGGCCTTGAAACAGTTTGACACTGGCGAAGGATTGCGCAAAGAAAACTGCATATGTGTTATTCTTGCGAGGAAGTGCTCCGCGTAATATCTTTGTTCCGTTCTGCTGCTGACGCGCAAGCAGTGTTGACTGCATTCTTCCTGGCGTATTTCAGGAAATTTTTAGTTTTAGAGACGATAAGGAAGAGGTCAAGATGTTTACAGTTTTAGTGCTGAAATAAATGCATGAAAAACAATAAATCTCAAAACAAGTGGTGTTTGCGATTGCGTATTGTATAGGAATATGTATATATATGAATAGACGTTGATGGCCTTGCAATCTGCAAGTATTGTTTAGCAAACAGTTACTGTCATTAGGCGAATACAATGTTGTGGAGCTTTAGTAAGCTAGTACGTAAGAATGAATTGTCGTGGTTAAAGTTTTGATCCTAGAACTAACGTGAAGATGACGCGAGTTGAAAGCCACTATACACGCTGTACCATGATCTTTTGAATTCGTTTCAAATTCTTTTGTTGGTAACACGAGTTGTCCTGCAACCCATGATGGCACAGTCGAGCGAGTGGGATGAATCTTGAAAGATATAACGCCACATGAGCTACTTAACATACAAAGTTACGTTAAGCTTCTACTGCGTTTTCTCAAGGACTGCTCCAAACGTATTTTATTTTCTAGAATCGGCATCCTCCAAATCAAGGAATAAGGCCACAGGTCTTGCAATCAGATACCCCTTAATATAGAGGTTCTATTTTGTGACCACTTGTGTTGATAGTTACGCCGGGTTTCATACCCAAAGTCTTAAACTTTTCGTTATGTCAGGTGTCGTGTCGTAAAAACTATCATAATCATCATCATCAACATGAAACAAAATTTTCTTTTTGTTCGTCGTCCTGTGCTTATTTTACGTCTCTTTCGCAACTAAAACTCACTCGCCGATTTGTCCAGCAGGGCACAAAATAACCCTGTTGGGTGAGAGACATGGTTGAGAGAGAAACAAAAAGAAAGAAAAAAGTGGAAGGCGAGAAAAAAAGTACAAAGAGAGGAACAAATAACGAGATAAAAAGACAGGAAAAGAGGTCCCGAGAAAAATTGACATAGAATGAGAGAAATTATTGAAAGAAAGTAAAAAAAAAGATAAATTGTTAGAGAACGAGTGTAATGCGATAGAGGTAAACAAAGTGAAATGACGATTAACCAGGGAAAAAATAGACGATTAGTGAGCAATTGAACTGAGAAGAAGACACAGAAAAGTACCTAGATAAAACTCGAATAACGAAAATAAAATTGAAGTGAGACAGAAAAAAAAGACAGAAAATGAAAGATAAGGAACAACCACAGAAAAGCTAAAAACATAAGTGCAAAGCAAATATATAGTAATGTATACTATAGTGGATTAGGGTTGCTAAAGAGAGTGAGCTGAGGAGGAGGAAAAAGATCTCTGTGACTCTTGATTCACTGTTCTTTACAGAGAATCTGCCACATTCTTAGATACGAAGCAGCTCTTTGACTAGTCTGTGTAACGCTGTACATCTGTAAGAACGCGCCGCACGCCACAGGTGTTTGAGTGGTGCCAAGTAGGCCACGCTGCTGCTGCGCGGTGACGTCACGCGCTCCTCACAGTAGACGATGACATCACTCTCTCTCTCATCTGTCGCGACGTGCACAGCTGCCGCCTCGTCCATTCGCTCGCAACGCGTGCAGCGACCGCCGCTCGCTACACCACAAACTCGTCAGTTCAAGAGCGATTCGCAATGCCCCCTGCCTATTCGAAATGTTCATAGACTGTCGAGCCACCTACCGGAATTCAGAAGTGTCCTCTCAAGGAGCATGAGTAGGCAGACGCTCCAAAAGCTCCCTTGTTCGGTGGTGCTAGCCTCAGTGTCAACGCGTTAACCAGAAACGAACACAAACCACTTTGTATGTTGCGTGCATCAGTAAATATACCGGACTGTCTGGGCCACAATAAAGCTGATTCGTTCTTGCGAAAGGCGAAGTTTTCGTGAAAGTACGTGTCACCTCGCCCTTTCGATCATCGACCACCGAGTACACACATCAGCTTTGCGAGATTTTCTGCAGCCACGTCGTATAGTCAAATGTTATTGTCTAACCATTGCAGTTCAAACTATAACCTTGTTTTACGTGCGTATAGCATTCGTCAGTGGTTTTGTATTGCATGAATCCCATAACATTCATTGTACGTGGAAGGTATCGAAGACTCCCGATTTGCGTTTCCCAACGTTGGTCTTCACTGCGCTGCTTGTTTTTTTTTACGTTCGTTGATAGATCACAGCGCACTGGAAAAGATTTTTTCTCTTGCTGGGTATCAGAGCAAAGTGATCTTCGCAGTGTCCGCACCCCCAGATAAACGTGGCGAGTTACGCCGTGTGTGTTTTGCATGATGAATGGCGCGTTGTTGGTGCTATTGAAGTCGTTTAGCGCAGAGATTTCCTCAGATTACTTTCAGCAGTCATGTTCAAAGAAACCGTCTTGGCATCGGGGATTTTTTACTGGACGTAGGTGGTTGCCAACGAGCTAAGAATGACAGTGACGACGAGCGATCAGCTGCTAGCTCCCGAGCACAGTGTTGCACTTCCCGTCCCGTCGTGCAATAATGTTTTTTTTTTCAATCATAAGTCATTTTGATTGTATTTATTGTATGATATCGTTCAGCGAGCTCAAAATAAAAACTTAGCTTTTCTTGGGCATTGCATGTAGCCCAATTACAATGAATATTACAAGCTACCGCGTGCCACCAATACGCTCGAGCAAGACCAGCGAAGCGAAATGGTTAGAGCAATGAGATATACAGTTACGACCACACTCCACGCAAACTTCCCATGCACTTCGCTGGTGCTGTCCGAACGAAGTTGTTGTTCGACAAATTTACGCAATGTTGAGGTTGGGAAAAGCGTACGCGTGTCAATATCGCTGTTCCGATCGTGCTGATGGATCCTGCAACATCCGGCTGCAGTGAATTGCGCACTGTTAGAGCCTCATCAACACTGTGATACAAGCGCTACACAATGAGAAGTTAAATGCTTGTGCACCGTTGAAGAAGCAGCTGCATGATGCTTACAGCGGAAGAAAAGACGACGGTGGAACATTTTGCCAAACCATCGCTACGGTAAACATTCGGTCCTGTGCAGCCGCGACAGTGCGCTACTCGCTAGGGGCCTACTACTGCGGCGAATTCACCAGGCACGCTCTGCACAAATTATCTCTGAGTGTCGTTCAGTTCAGAAGTGAATTCTACTTCACGTAGTTTGATACACGGGCGATAAGCTGACACCCCCACCCTTTGCACTGCGGCAAGAAATGAGATAACGAATATTCAAAATTTCCTATAGTCTGCGAAGGTACTTTAGTTCGATATACAATCTCTCGATGATTGATTGATATGTAGGGTTTAACGTTCCAAAACCACTGTATAATTATGAGAGACGCTGCAGTTGAGGGCTCCGGAAATTTAGACCACCTGGGGTTGTTTAACGTGCACCCAAATCTGAGCACACGGGCCTACAACGTTTGCGCCTCCATAGGAAATGCAGCCGCCGCAGCCGGGATTCGATCCCGCGACCTGCCGGTCAGCAGCCGAGTACTTTAGCCACTAGACCACCGCGGCGGGGCTCACTCGATGATCAAAAATTCATCCGGTGAAAGCGGCATGGGAAGTCACTGTATTTTCTAGTTGTAGGCCGAGTAGCACATTTCTTTTTCAATTAAGCCGCTAGCAACCATGCTCTGCGAAGACGTTGGTGCACCTGCTGCACCACCGAAAGTGGTGGCCGTTAACCAGGAATCTATCAATCGTACGAACTGGCGCACTTACTTTAAATTCATTAAGCTTCGACAGCAGAGTATTTGCATTAAACTGGCCCCAATTTCGAAAAAGATCACTGAAATAATCAATGCCGTAGGCTAAGTGCAGCACTACATGAATCTCGCATGACCTATATTTTGTGCTTGTGAGTTGCTGCTTACCTTCTATAGCTGGTGCCACTTGACCATGTGTCAGTGGCGGTGCATTTTAATCGGCACTACGCTACGCCTCCACGCTTTGCGTAACGGAACAAAAAAAATGCTTTTGAACTCCCATGACAAATTCCCGAAAGCAGGTGCTTCTTTTTTCCTCGCCGGTAATTCGCACGTCAGACATGTCTGGTGTTGGGCTACTTGCTTCGTCTATCAGCGACACGCTCAAGCAAGTCACCTGCAAAATTATAGTGCGGCTTTGCCGTATATCTATGGTTTCTTGCCAAAAAAGATGGCGAACCTAGCGTTACTCTGCTTCAGTAAAAAGCATATACACTTAATATAACGTGTGCGGGTGCGGTCAAACTCAAAAAGCCGCGTATTCAAAGAAAAAAAAAAAGAAACAGCTCCTGGTCACACGGCACACGTGACGTATTTCTTTGCCCCTACCTAGCCTCCCTACTAGTTTCCACTGCTTTCGACGAGACAAGAGAAGAGAATGCAATTGCAGCATTGCTTTTTTTGCTTTGCTCGCAGCATTGCAAGAGAAGTAATTGCAACCGGTCGGATACACTGCTTTTGAGGATGCCATAAGTGTTCAAACATTCGCATTTGGTAGCACTGCCTGGCAAACAGAGTGTGGTCACTTTCAGCGAAATGCTCGGCAATTTGGCTCTTTCTCCATTCTGGTGGTGAGGCTGGCGTATACCAAGTGGGTAACAAATAGCTTAAGCTCTAATTATTACGCATGAAGCATTTGATCACAAAATAAAGATATTTGTACCGTATCTGTAGGCATGTCCGTCGCGCTGGCTGCGTAGGTTGTCGTGCTCTCGAGGCTAGTTGATTAGGTTTACATGTACCAAGTTTTACATGGCTTGAGAAGAGATTGAGAAAAACATAGACTACATAAATGACATGAAAATATTGACATGCCTTTAAAGGAGCCCTGCAGCACTTTTTGAGCATGGTCAGAAAACGCTTCTCGAACTTACACGAAGTGATACGAGGACATAACCATGACAACTGAGTGATCCTAACATGTAAACAATGTCAAGCATGCCATGACCGCCAATACATATAAGACGCGATCATCGAGCACTAATGGCGGTTTCCTTAACTTGTTGAGTACCAAAATATACATGCCATGATAGTGAATTGTATAAATAACTGATCGCAACATGAAAAGCTTTTCATGCGTGTCATCTAGGCCAAGACATATATAACCCAGTCATGAAGATCCTTTTGGTGTCTACTGGAATTGACTTGACATCATAG